TTTGTTTTGGGTCATATAACTACTTTCTGTAGTATATATATTATATTTTAAATACTGTTGAATATAATAATAATTTATATCGAAATCAACAAAAATTTATATAGTTTTTGTTTTTGCTAATCCAAAACAAAAATCGGCTAGTCTAAGACATCCTGACCAGCATCAGCGAATGTGTTTGTTGAAGTATAAAAATATATACAACAATACAGAAATGTCTGTGCAGTATTTGAAACGATATCATCAGTACCAGGGAAAGCAGTCTAATTCCTAACCTGCTACGGCATACAGATTAAAATACGAACAATGATTACTTAACAACGAAACATGAATATGCCCGACATGACATGGCAAATTTTGGTTTAGGTGCGTTTAAAAATACCACGCTAGTATTATGGGACAACACGTCATACACAGGAGGTCACTGCACGTCAACATCTTTGAAGGACTTTGCAATGTAGTGTACATTTAAAATAAGTATGGTGTGATTTCTAGCCTACTACGGCATACAGACTTGGTTAGATGCCAACAACAACTACTTGGCAAGAAAAAGATGAAAACATGGGCCTGATAAGTCGATAAACACAACGATCTTCTGAATCACTGAAGCGCATACAATTCTCTTTAGGGGAATTAATTTATCACATTGACTAGTAGCTTCGAGGTAAGTGGGTTTCGTATTGGATGGGTCTTGCGGGTAGGGCTTTGTCGCAGTAACTGGTTCTTACATAGTTGTTGAGAATTAAAGTTTTATGTTTCTATCAGGGGGAAAATTCTTCTCCACGGGGTTCTCCACACTTGTCAGGGGGGAAACTCGTCTCATCTCTATATCTCGTCCCCTTGAGGTGCGGGATCGGGGAAGTCACTTATACTTTACAGTAAAATAAGACACACACAACGAAATACATTTCAGCTCTCGTCTTAGTCGGTCAATCGAGCACTCTATAAGACACAGCGCCCTGGGGAAAAATCCCCAAGACTATCGCAAGGCTGACCCAAGACTCGCCCAAGACTCTCTAGGACTTCGTCTGTTCTGCTGTACTCCCCAAGACCAACTAAAACAACTTTATTCATTTTCAAAACACTAACCAATTACAATACAGTTAAAAGACTATAAGGCGTAACCTTCAATCATAAAACCAATCACACTAAGTACTGAATACGTCATATCTTTTGATTAATCGTTCACTACATTAATAACTACGAATACTAACTGTCAGAATTAATAGTCAGAATAGCGACGGTTATCTCGTAATTAGTTCCAAATCACTGAGTCGAGTTCCGTCCAAAACTTCAAATAGGCCTAAACGATGACAGACATAACACAGCAATTCGCTAATAATCAACTAATTAAGTCGGTTAACAGATA